AGCCAGGACGGGACCCACACAGGTGTCCTAACTGCCCACAGCACCGCACCCTGCAAAGAACCTGAAGCCAACACGCCTCACAGGCCACCTGATGACATGCAAACGCATGTAAATGACACGCAGCTGTTGGTCCACGTGAACCAAATCCTCGCCTTACGGCTCCACAGGCAGTGTGGACACTGCCTCCTGTGGACGCACCTGCACGAATGCTCAGCTTCTAGAACCTTCTCAGGTCTTCCTGACAGCTGCTGCCTCCCCCACGCAGACCCCCAGGCAGCACCAGGCTCCTCGCTGCCCAGTGCCTGCCCCATCTCCGCGGTTCTTCTGCGGCCAGGGCTGGGACACCCTCCCTGCCTCCCTCATGAGCCCAGACCAGACACCCAGGTTTCTAACCCTTCCTGAGCAACCCAGGGACCCAGCCAGCATGGTGGCCAGACCCACCTGTGCCCAGGAGGTGTGGCAGCTGCCAAAGGGCACCCACAGGGAGTGGGCCTCCTGCAGCCTGGGCCTGGGCGGTGCCAGCTGTGACCAGCTGTGGTCAGCTGTTCTTGGAAACCACTCCTCCCTGGAGTACAGCACATCAGGTGTGGGCGAGCCGCTGACTGTCCCTGCAGGCAGAGCTCTCTGGGACAGAGACGGAGAGACAGACCTGGGGTGGGCGTGAGGCAGGTGCCAAACACAGGTGGGTCCTAGGGCGGCGGTGTCACCGCGGGTGCCTCAGCACGGCCACTCTGCGGGCTGGCCCCAGGCCGCTGGTGCGGAGAAGGCCGTGGGCTCCTCTTCCCTGTGCAGCTGCACTTGGGCCCAGCCCACAGCCGACGGTGGGCGCCCAGTGTCCAGCCCAGCACCGCCCAGGGCTGCTCTTCTCACCCGGTCTCGCTTTCACTTTGAAAACTGTTACTATCTCTTGAAACACTGTGTGTGTGTGTGTGTTGATACGTAATGGGTTCATTCTTATTTTTTAAGATTTATTTACTTTGAAAAAGGCAGAGGACAGAGAGGCAGAGTGAGAGGGCAATCTTCCACGCGCGCTTCATTCTCCAAGTGGCCGGGATGGACAAGGCCGGTCCAGACTGAAGCCAGGAGCCGGCAGCTCTATCCAGGTCTCCCCCATGGGCACAGGGCCCCAAGCACGTGGGCCCCCTTCTGCTGCTTTCCCAGGCCACAGCATTTGGCGCTGGATGGGAAGTGGAGCCGCTGGGATGCCAGTCATACAAGCAGCGGCTTGACCCACTGCGCCACAACACGGGCCGTCTGCTCGGCTTCTACACGAAACATCGGAAACCTTGTGTCGGTCTAAGTACCGGCCGTGGTAAATACGTACAAATCCACAGAGGTAACCCACCCAAAGCTGTTTTCAGTCCTCAGCGATCTTTACAAATTATTGATTTTCATTTTATTTGGAAGGCAGGGAGACAGGTTGGTCCAGGCCGCAGCCAGGAGCCAGGAGCTCAGCCCATCCCAGGCAGGCGCCCGTCTGAGTCCTGGCTACTCCGCTCCGGATCCAGGGGCGGCCCGAGCGCTGGGGCCCCTGCCCCGTGTGGGAGACCAGGACGAGGATGCTGGCTGTCGTGGCCATGTGGGGAGTGAGCCCTCCGTCTTTTGCCCTGCCTGTCAAATACAAACATACAGCTTCAGAAATGATGGCTGTGGGGATGGGGGTGGGGGTGGAGTAATCAAATCTGCCATCACCCTCCGCTGTGGCCTGCCCTGCGGGCTCCTGGAGTGGACCCACGCGGGTCCCAGGGAGCCAAAGCCGCTGCCTCCTCGCCCGGCTGCAAGGCTTCAGCTGTGGCTGTTTCCAAACCCCCTGTGTGGTTTTCAACAGCGGCCGTGAGGGGCTGGTGCTGTGGCGCAGCGGTAAAGCCGCCGCCTGCAGTGCTGCCATCCCATATGGGCGCCGGTTCCCACCCGGCTGCTCCTCTTCCAATCCAGCTCTCTGCTGTGGCCGGGGAAAGCAGTGGAAGATGCCCAAGTCCTTGGGCCTCTGCACCCACGTGGGAGACCTGGAGGAAGCTCCTGGCTTCAGATCGGCGCAGCTACAGCCGTTGCGGCCATCTGGGGAGTGAACCAGCGGATAGAAGGTCTCTCTGTCTCTCTCTTTCAAATAAATAACTCTTAAAAAAAAAAAAAAAAGCAGCCATGAGAAAACGTGAGCTCAGGCCAGGCCCTGCACTCAGCGGGCAGCGGGTGGCCCCGAGCAGGCTCCTGCGCCCACACCCGTGACCGCTGGTTTTTCTTGCCCCTCCCACGCCTGTCCCCTGCCTGGGCTTTGGCCTGCTGACTGCTCAGCGCCCACCCACCAGGGCTCGGGGCTCAGAGCGCCTCCCTCTCTGACCACGGTGGCCATCCGGGCCCCTCCGCCTCTCTGCCCGGCCTGGACGCTCACCACAGGTGGCCCCCCAACACCTGAGAGGCTGTGCCGGAAGTGGCGCTGCAGCAGCAGCCAGGCCCGGCAGGGGACCCCAGAGCCTCCCGGGGCCTACGGCAGACCCAGCGGAGGGGCCGGGTGCTCCGGGGACGGGGAGGGGGCTTTGGAGGTGGCGAAGGCCTAGGGCCGCGAAGCCTCCAGCAGCCAGCAGAGGCGTGAAGGACCCGCCCACACCTCACACCCTGGGGGACTTCCCGCTGGCCTCTGTCACAGGGCTGCCTCCCGGAGTGACAGGTGCTGCACGCGGGCAGAGCCCGGCGCGGCCGTGCAGGGAGTGCTCCTCCCAGAGGCCAGGCCCCTTGGTCATCAGAGCCCTTCGAGGACAGAGCCCCGGCCGGGCCCAGCGGCTGCAGCAGGCCGGCCGGAGGGAGGGAGCCGTATACAGGAACTCCCTCTGGGGTCAAAGGAGCTGGTGCGCATTCCCAAGGCAACACAGGGGCACCCAGGTAACGAGGACAAACACGCCTGGTGTGGAGCGGGCACAGAGGCGGCCGGCCCCGGGCGAGGGGGAGCCGCGGCCCCGGACGCCCTGGCAGGTGGCTGCTGTGTTGAAGGCCGAAGCAGCCAGGATTGGCTCAGTGCAGGGCGAGTCCTGGTGTCCTGAGCCAGGTGGACCCAGCGAGTCCCCTCCCCTCGCTGGGCAGCTGGGACACCCAGCACTGCTCCCCCACCCCGCGACATTCTTCCGGAACATGCTCTTGTCTCAGGGCACCAACCTCAGGGAGTGTGGCCAGCAGGACCGTGGCCCGCCGCTGCTCTGTCTCCCAGGCCGGGCGGGGTTGGGACTGTAGCCAGCGCGCGCTCCGCACAGGGTAGCCGGGGCTCTGGGTGCTACGCCGGTGCCCGCGGCGGAAGTGCGAGCAGCCTCCTCACTGCCTCCCACACCCGCTGCTGTGCTAACCTACAGGTGCTGGCGCTAACGAGGAAGGTGCCCCAGCTGCGACCGCCCTGTGGCACGGGTGTCCCCATCTACCCCTGGAGAACCGGCCAGAGCTTACATAGTGCAGCTTCCCAGCTGGCCTCACCAAGTCGACCTGGGAGCCCTGGCACGTGGCTGCCTGTGCCGGCGCCCCAGGACACACGTGCTGGGCCCGTTCGCCTTGACCCTTGCTGCCCGAAGTGCTCAGGACTGGGGCTGGGAGCCAGGGAGGGCACGGGGCAAGGCCACCTCACCCCCACCTGGCTTCCTCCTTCTCTGGCAGAATCCATGCAGAGGTGGGTGGGCACACCCCCCCCCCCCCGAGCGCCACGTTCACAGGCCACTGCTGCCCCAGTCTCCACCTGCGGTGACTCCAAGGGCTGCCCTCCCGTCTGCAGGGCGGGGTAGGGGTGACTGGAGAGGCCTGCCGGGCAAGGGACACTGCAGAGCAGTGTGGGACCGCTGGGGTGCTGTGGCCATGGCCCAGCTGGCTCTGCAGGCACCTGGGGCAGGCGGCATGCTCCAGCCACGGCCGTGGGTCACCCCTGGAGTGCACCCAGGCCACAGCCCCCCGTGGGGCTTTAGAGTGACCCTTGTCGTGAGCCTCATGCACCCAGGTGGCGTGGACTGACCTGCCGGGTGCCGCCAGTGCCCTCAGGGAGCGAGCCCCAGCCGGCACTGCTCTGGGAAGCGGGTGCAGACCATCGGGTGGCCTTTGGGGCGTCTCGGGGGTGGATTTTGAGGGCGAGGTGGGGGGAAGCAGAGAAGCTGAGCTGCACTCCGGAGAGTGGCCGTTTCCGGCACGTGAACGTGGGTCTCGAGTGAGTGGTGGATGTGCTGTGTCCCCTGGGCAGAGCCGGTGTGGGGCGCAGGCCAGGGGGACGTGCACGGGAGGAGTCTGGCCATCCTGACCTCTGTGGACAGGTGCTCTCCCTCGGGGAAGCCCCAACACTTGCGGAGTGACAGGTCAGCCCGGGAGGGGTGAGACCAGCAGGAAGTGGAGAGGGAGGACAGCCAGGAGCAGGCGCCTGGGCTGAGTGCTGGGGCCGCCTTCCAGGGAGTGGCAGGGCCAGGCCGGGCGGCAGACGGGGTCCACAGGGAGGCGGGGGGAGGGGTCGGACAGAGATGCAGCCAGGGACTTGGGCAGACTTGGAGTGACCGAAGGGGGACACGGGGACTGAGGGGAGCGCCCAGGCCTGGGGGTGCCGCCAGGAAGGTGTGGGACGTGTTCCCGTGACAGGCGCAGGGGGCCCTCTTTCTCTGCAGCAGTGTGTGGGGGGAACCCCGGGGCTGACGTCTGGACTTAGAGGAGGCACTGCTGGACTAGGGTCCTGGGGGTGTGGGAGGGGCTGACCGGGGAGACAGACGCTCAGAGGCGAGCAGCACGGGGGAGGGAGCCGGGGCGGTGCCACAGAGCAGGCTGTGCCAAGGAACCACTGACCACGGATGCACCCGTGGTGGCAAAGTGGCCTGGGCAGGGCCAGTCCTGCTTGGAGGCAGCAGGTGGCTCCCTGACCCAGGCCCAGCGGCTGGAGCCTTCTGTGTGTGTGGTTCGCGGGGGTGAGGGTGGCTGCCTGCCCCCCACCTGCCTCCAGCTTCTCCCTCGGAGCACCTGCTGCCTACCGGAGACCACGTCCCTGACGCTCCCCGCACCGTTAGAAATTTATTCTCTCAGATGCACACGTGAGCGCCGTGCGGTGAACGCCGGGACGGCGGCGGCCTCACCCTCCATGCAAACCATGCACAGTGAGAAGCCGGCTGGGGCCCGCGGGGTGGCTGTCCTCCTCGCCGCCCAGGAGACCCAGCGTGGCCGGCGGCGTGGCTGCAGCGGTTTATTCTCCAGGGGAAGCCAGGCAGCTCCGAGCCGGCGGGGGCAGCAGGCGGGGCGGCGCGGGCTCACTTCACGTGCTCGGCCACGTGCGAGGCGCAGTAGTACTTCTTGTGCGCGATGAAGGTGGACAGGCTGCTGAACCTGATGTTGCACAGGCGGCAGTACCTGGGGGTGCCGCTGGGCACCGGCGGCGCCGCGCCCTTGTCCGCGGGGGCGGGGGCGGGGGCGGGGGCCGGGGCGGGCGGCGCGGCGGGCGACTGTGGCGCGGCGGGCCGCGGGCTGCCGCTGGCCGCGCGGGGCGGCTCCCGCGGCTCGGAGCCGTCCGGGGGGCCGCGGTCGGCCGGCGTCCGAGCCTCGGCCCCCAGGCCGGCCGGGGGCTTGGCCACCAGCAGCCCGTGCGCCAGGCGGAAGTGCTCGATGAGGTCGCCCCGGCCCAGGCCGTTCGGGGGGCAGTAGGGGCAGGCGACGGCGTGCGGCTCGGGCGCGGGCCGCGGCGCGGGGCACGAGTACTGCTTGTGCGCCAGGTAGGCGTCGAGGCTGTGGAAGCTCACGCGGCAGGCCGTGCACTCGTGGTAGTCGGCCAGGGCGGACAGGCCGGGCGCGGGCGCAGGGGCGGGCGGCGCGTCCGGGGGCCGGCGCCGCGGCTTCTTGCTCAGGTCGATGGGGCCGTCGGCGGCGGGCGTGGGGCCGCCGCTTCCGGGCAGCGGCGACGCCGGGCGCTCCGGGTCGGGCGCGGGCGGCGGGGCGCCCGGGGCGTGCAGCTCGTGCAGCTTGCGGCGCCGGCGCGTGCGCGCGGGCGGGGCGGGCGGCGCGGCGGGGCTCGCGGGCGGCCGGCGCGGAGGCGGGTCGTGGCGCGAGGCGCAGTAGTAGCGCTTGTGCACCGAGTACGTCTCGTGGCGGCTGAAGCGGATGTTGCAGGCCTCGCACAGCGTGCGGCTCGGGTCGTCCTCCGCGTCGTCCACCGAGCTGCCCGGGCTCTGGCTGCCCTCGCTGCCCCGGCCGGCCGTGTCCGCCTCGGTCGTGTCCGCGCCGCCCGCCTCGTCCTCGCGCTCGCCGGGGCCGGGGCCGGGGCCGGGCGGGGAGCGCGCCGCGGCGGGCTCCGCGGGCGGGCCCGGAGGCGCCTTGGGCCTGCGCGCGGCGGGCGCGTCCTCGGGCGCGCGGCGGCCGGAGCAGTAGAGGCGCTTGTGCACCAGGAAGTTGCTGACGTTGTTGAAGGTGATGTCGCACTCGAAGCACGTGGCGCCCTTGGGCGCCCCCGCCAGCAGGGCCGGCGCCCCCGCCGCGCCCGCCTGCAGCCGCCCGTGCACCAGTTCGGACATCTTGGCCAGGATCTCCGAGGCCTGCGGCGCCGCGGAGCCTGGCGGGGCGCCCGCGTCCGGCCCCAGCACGTACTGCGGCAGGAAGAGCGCCCCGGCCAGGCCCAGCTCCCCGGGGACCGGGCTGGAGCCCGGCGTGGGGCTGGACAGCTCGGCCTTCACGTGCGCCGGGGCCGGGCTGCGTGGGGATGGCGTCCGCGAGGGGGCCTGGGGTGCGGGCTCGCCGGGGCCCGGGGCGCGCGCTAACTCCGGCTCCTCAGCCGCCTCAGCCTTGATGGTCCTGGGGGCCACGGGGGGCTCGTGGCCGCCCCCGTTCTGGGGGTCTGCTTTGGCCTCTCCGTTGGTGGCCTCGGCCTGGACCTTCCTGTCCTTTCCCGGCGATGAGGTGGGCGTCAGGCCCAGGTCCGGCGTGGCCAGCGGGCGCTGAAGGGCCGCGTGGGGCTGGAGGCCGGCCAGGGCATCTGTAGGGAGACCGAGTGTGCGCCTCAGGCCGGGCTCCGGCCCCAGGGCGCCAAGGGGAGGCTGCCCATCCCCCCCAGTCCTCACCTGCCGGCAGCTTGGCCGCCGGGTGGCCGGCCCCTGGCGAGTAGATCTCCCCCTTGGAGCCGGGCTGGCACACCATGTGGTTGGTCACCAAGTGGCTGTAGAGGATGTCCCTTGTGGTGGAGATGAAGCCACAGCTGTGACAGACACCTGTGGGCCACGTGCAGAGGTCAGGGCCCCAGGCCCCCCGGCACGGCCCCCTGCCTGTGCCCTGCAGACCCCCCCACTCGCATGGTCTCCACAGCCCCCCATGCCCCCGCAGCCCCCTGCCTGTGCCCTGCAGGCCCCCCCACTCGCATGGTCCCCACAGCCCCCCATGCCCCCGCAGCCCCCTGCCTGTGCCCTGCAGACCCCCCCACTCGCATGGCCCCACAGCCCCCCATGCCCCCACAGTCCCCTGCACAGTCCCGCAGCCCCCCATGGCCCTGCAGCCCCCCCATGTCCCCACAGTCCCCTGCACGGCCCCACAGCCCCCTGCCCGCCCCCCCATGCCCCCACAGCCCCCCCACGGCCCCACAGCCCCCTGCCTACCCCCCCACCGTCCCCCACACGGCCCCGCAGCCCCCTGCCTGCCCCCCCATGCCTCCACAGTCCCCTGCACGGCCCCGCAGCCCCCTGCCCGCCCCCCCATGCCTCCACAGTCCCCCGCACGGCCCCGCAGCCCCCTGCCCGCCCCCCCATGCCTCCACAGTCCCCTGCACAGCCCCACAGCCCCCCCATGTCCCCACAGTCCCCTGCACGGCCCCACAGCCCCCTGCCCGCCCCCCCATAGTCCCCCACACGGCCCCACAGCCCCCTGCCCGCCCCCCATGCCCCCACAGTCCCCCACACGGCCCCACAGCCCCCTGCCCGCCCCCCCATGCCTCCACAGTCCCCCGCACGGCCCCACAGCCCCCGCCCGCCCCCCCATGCCTCCACAGTCCCCTGCACGGCCCCGCAGCCCCCTGCCCGCCCCCCATGCCTCCACAGCCCCCCCCCACGGCCCCACAGCCCCCTGCCCACCCCCCCACAGTCCCCCGCACGGCCCCACAGCCCCCTGCCCGCCCCCCCATGCCTCCACAGTCCCCCGCACGGCCCCGCAGCCCCCTGCCCGCGCCCCCATGTCCCCACAGTCCCCCACACGGCCCCACAGCCCCCTGCCCGCACCCCCATGCCCCCACAGGGCCCCACAGCCCCCTGCCCGCCCCCCCATGCCCCCACAGCCCCCCCACGGCCCCACAGCCCCCTGCCCACCCCCCCACCGTCCCCCACACGGCCCCACAGCCCTCTGCCCGCCCCCCCATGCCTCCACAGTCCCCCGCACGGCCCCGCAGCCCCCTGCCCACCCCCCCACCGTCCCCCGCACGGCCCCGCAGCCCCCTGCCCGCGCCCCCACAGTCCCCTGCACGGCCCCGCAGCCCCCTGCCCGCGCCCCCACAGTCCCCTGCACGGCCCCGCAGCCCCCTGCCCGCCCCCCCATGCCTCCACAGTCCCCTGCACGGCCCCGCAGCCCCCTGCCCACCCCCCCATGCCCCCACAGCCCCCTGCCCGCCCCCCCATGCCTCCACAGTCCCCTGCACGGCCCCACAGCCCCCTGCCCGCCCCCCCCATGCCTCCACAGTCCCCCGCACGGCCCCACAGCCCCCTGCCCGCCCCCCCATGCCTCCACAGTCCCCCGCACGGCCCTGCAGCCCCCTGCCCGCCCCCCCATGCCTCCACAGTCCCCCGCACGGCCCCACAGCCCCCTGCCCGCCCCCCCACCGTCCCCCGCACGGCCCTGCAGCCCCCTGCCCGCCCCCCCATGCCTCCACAGTCCCCTGCACGGCCCCGCAGCCCCCTGCCCGCGCCCCGCAGCCCACCTACCGCTCAGCGTGTCTGTGTGCACCTTGAGGTGGCGTTCACAGTTGGCCTTGGTGGTGAAGGCCGACAGGCAGATGAGGCACACGAAGGGGCGCTCTCCTGGAACAGAGGTGGGCGGAGCCCGTGAGTGGGACCCCCGCGGGACGCCGCGCCCGCCGGGGGCGTCCAGCCGGGCTCACCGCTGTGGCTGCGCATGTGGATCTCCAGGGAGCTGGCGCTGGGGCAGCTCTTGCGGCAGTGGGGGAAGGGGCAGACGCGCTCGTTGGGGTGGGGCTCCTTGGGCCTCTCGTCGGCGGCGGCCGCAGCCGGGGAGCCGCCCTGCCGGCTGGCGCAGTAGTAGAGCAGGTGGGCTTGCAGGTTGCGCTCGCTCCGGTACCAGATGCCGCAGTCCTTGCAGGGGAACACGTCCTCTGGGGGGGAGGGGGTGCTGAGGCGGGCGCCCGCCCGGCCACCCAGACCCCCGCCCTGCCCGGGGAGCCGCGCCTCAGCCCTGGCTCCCCTTCCTGTAGGTTTCCAGGGTGCGGGGCCCCAGGGCGGCCCCGGGGGCGGGCATAAGCAGGCAGATGCGGCAGCCCCGCCCCACTCGGGTCAGCCTCTGGCTCTGGCCGGGCTTGCTGCAGCCACACAGTCGACCCCAGGGGTGGCCAGATGCGCTGGGCTGGGGGCTGCCAGCAGGCGAGGGGCCCGCCTTCAGGGGACGCTCTGCTCGGCCCCTGACCCCCGGGGAAGAGGACGGCTCACCTGGAGACCAGGCAGTGCTTCCGTCCCTCCCCGCTTCTCGGCGGTCTGCTGCACGGTCACCAGGGTGGGCCCCTGCCCCTGGGAGGCCCTGGGGTCCCGGAAGCACCGACTGACTGTGGAGGGTCCCCGGCCCCCAGCCCTGCCGTTGTGACTCCCAGGAGCCACCTCCTTGCTCCGGTCACTGCTGTCAGCTGAGGCCCCGAGGGACCCGCCGCCAGCAGGGGACGTGCAGTGAGGGTCACCCCCGCCGCCAACCAAGGCTGTGTCCTGGGCAGGGCAGCAGGGGGCACCTGAAGACCCCTCCCCTGGCAGCACAGGTGAGACTGAAGCCCTGGACGGCGGCTCTGCTGCCCGAGAGAGCCGGGCAGGACTCGGAAGGGTGACAGGGACATGGGCCAAGGGACAGAGCCTCAGAGGCAGAGCTCGTGGGCCGGGCTGCGTGGAGAGGAAGAGGCAGCGACACTGGCATCCCACGGGGCAGAGCTGGGTCCAGGCCCAGCTGCTTCCGGTCCGGCTGCCTGCTGGCCCGTGGGCTTGGGCCCCTGCCACCCATGAGGGCGGCCTGGAGGAGTTCCGGGCCTGGCCCAGTGACCCGGTGCATGGACCTCGGTCCCTCTGTCACTGCCCTTGCAAACATGTGAACCTTAACCAAGCACCTGGCCCGCAGAGGGGACACGGGGCCCAGGAGCCGCCCATCATACCAGCCACAGGAAGTGTCCCACGAGACCGGAAGTGGCCTCTGCTGCTGCAGGACCATCTGCCGGACCCGGCCCTGCCGCCCGCTACCCCCCAGTGGCACAGTCGCCGGCACCAGGGATGTGGCCGTCCAGCCTCCTGTGCCCCAAACCCTGATGTCCCCTGCCACTCTCTGCTAAGGGAGAGGAGAAGCAGGGCCCCCCCTTCCTGGCCCCCACGGAAGCTGGCTCTCAGCTCCCTGGGGGGGGGCCCACGCCGATGTCACCAGTCCCGGCAGCACACACTGCACCAGAACCGCCCACCTCGCTGGCGTGGTTTTGGTCAGGGTCTTGGTGAGCACCATGCTGCTATTTAGTGGTCACTCGTCTGCCTTTGGTCCTGCCATGGCCTGGGCATGGCAGAAGCCCACTCTGACCGGCGCCTCCAGCCCTGGGCGCTCCAGGCCTTGCTCGCTGGCCGTGTCCCCAGCTGCCCCCAAGGCTCCCCTGTAGCATTGCTGGGTGAGGCCGCTCAGCAGGGTCCGCCCCAACTCCCAGGCAGTGCCAGCTAGTGCACACCTAGTGTGCCGGGCCAGCTGCGCCCCCCGGTGGGGGCAGTGCCGGCCAGCGTCCCCGCGATGGCCATACCCAAAGCCCCGGCCCCACGTCTGCTGCCGGTGGACACGAGCTGGCTGCCCCCGCCGGCGGACACGAGCTGGCTGCCCCCGCCCCCATGGCCAGGCGTCTGGAAGGGGGGCTTCCACCTGCGGCCCGCAGTGGGCAGTGGGCATCCGGGGTGGACTCCACATAAAGCCCCCGGGGGCCTGGCGGGAAGTTGCTGGCTAAGCCGCCTGGGGCCCATGCTACACGGCCTGGGGCTTCACCCCGACCCTGGCTCCTGACCGCTTCCTGCCTGGCTCGGGTCACTGGGACCCTGACCCCCACAGGGAAGACCTGACGGGAGCTCCCAGCCCCCAGCTGTGGCCACTGCAGGCATCTGGGACAAAGGGCGGGGAGGGGCCTCCGTTTCTGTCTCAGATAAATGAAAACGCCTTTGGGGGAGCCTGCATTGGAGAGCAAACCCAGGCGCCCCGCCCGGCGCCCCCGCCCGACCAGTGCTGCCTCGGGGGCCACGGGGCAGCCTGGCCACGTCTCGTGTCACCGTGGGCTGAGGCAGGCTCTGAGAGGTGTGGTTGGACCCTGCAGAGTGGCGGCTACCGGAGGGGCAGGCCTGTGCCACCGACCTGCTGTCACCCACAGGGCTCTGCTCACGGTGTCACACGAGGCTTCTGGGAGGAGGGGCCTGGATTCTCCCTCAGTGTCCCCCAGGCGCTGGCCTTGTCTAGCGCCCCTCCCCCAGCGGCGAGGTGGGCGCTGGGCTTGTCTAGAGCCCCTCCCCCAGCGGCGAGGTGGGCATGGCACCTAGTGTGCCGGGCCAGCTGCGCCCCCCGGTGGGGGCAGTGCCGGCTAGGGAGCCCCTGCCCGCCAGCCGGTGCCTGTGGCTGTCCCACGTGCTGGACCATGCCACTGTGGGCTCTGCCCCCACGTCCGTGGCACAGCTGCCCCTCCCCCCTTTCCTGCCCTTTCTCTCCACAGCGGGTAGCTGGCACCCCCCCCCCGGCGTGGCCGGCACAGCGGTCTTCACAGGCCTGGGGCTGGCTACTCACTGTTGACGACGGCTGTGGCGAGGATGGACGCCATGCCGGCCTGCTGGGGCAGCAGCCGGATGTCGCTGGGCGTGGGGACCGGGCCCTGGGGCTCTGTGGGCTCCTTCTTCACGGGGTGGCTGGGGATGCGGCAGCACTCGGCCACGAGGAACACGCTCAGGAGCCCACCCACGGGCACCGGCTTGGTGACCCTGCACCACAGGGCTTCGTCTGCAAGGACACAGCCGACCATGACGCTGGCGGCGGCAACATGGGCTCATGGTCGCCGGCTGCCTGGCCTGCTCCTCACGGGCCCAGGCCAAGGCGGGGGCGGCCATGCCCAGGGCCACAGCTGTTCCCCTCTGCTCCTTGGGCCTCCCTGTCCCGTGCACAAGGCTGCACTGTTTTCAGAAAAGGAGAGACATTTGGGACAGGTGCAGCGGCCCTTGGCCCCCTAGGGAAAGTGGTGGCTGAACCTGGGGCTGAGATGGACGCTCTACAATGCTTGCTACAAGTTGGCAGAGCAGCTATTCCTGTGGTGGCCTGAAGGGGGCAGCCCTGGCTAACGAAATCCAGGGCGAGCGCAGCCAGCTTGGTCTACGGGCGGGCTGGCAGCCAGGGCTCCGCCGGCCTCAGGGAGGAGCTGCCCTGTACCCAGTCCTGCCCCTCCCCCCCCGGGTGGGTGCCGTGTCCCTAGCTATGGTTCTGCAGGACCCGGTCACTCTCACAGTCGAACTGCACGGAGCCCTGCTCGTCCCGGCTGGCCACATGGCCGCCACACGTGGCCGGAGCAGGGCTGCCCGTGTTGGCAGGAGGGGCAGCACAGCAGTGCCCGCAAGCCAAATCCTGAGTGCAACCACAGCTGACCACCGCCAGCGGCGCCCAGCCCCCGTGCTCTCTGAGCGCTGGGATGCGCCTGGGTGAGGGGCTGGCCTAGCAGTTGGGTCTGCGCCTGCACCTGCTCCAGCCCTGGTTCTCCGCGGCCTCTGGCCCCTCCCACCGCCGGTGCGCCACCCAATAGGCTGCAGGCAGAGGTGACGCCGGTGGAGGTCTCAGAACATTCTAGCAAGACAAGCTCCCACCTGCAGTTTCTGGGCTGAGGGTGGGGGCCCTGTCCTGCTCCCACTGCAGAAGGCAGGAGGGGCGGGCCGGGCAGACACGGGGTGAGCTCTCAGTGCCCGCACGCCTGGGGGCACGGCCACAGGCACCCAGGGCTGACCCCAAACACACGGGGCCGCCCCTGGTCCGCGTGGCCACAGTGGGTGCTAACGAGGGCACTGGGTGTAGCCCAAGTGCCTTGTTACCCCCGCCCGCCCCCACCATTCAGACTGGTTTCCCTTTAAGGGCCGGCCCAGGGAGAGCCTAGTGTCCCCACCCCCGGAAGGCCACTGGACACCAACCCTTCCTGTAGATCTCAGAGTTGGCTTCGGCCTGGGTCAGGGCCTGGGGCAGCGTCTTCAGCCAGCAGGCCTCGTCCACCCTCAGCAGGGGCAGGGCTCCATCCTGGGGAGAGCGGGAACGGGGGCGGGGGCGGTCAGCACAGGAAGAGCTGGGCGCTGCCGTCCAGACAGGCGCTGGCCTCTCGGAGACCAAGGCCCGGCGAGGCCAGGCCGTCTGCTCCACACACAGCCGGGTGACTGGGGCCTGGGCCCACCTCAGGCTCCTCCCCACGGCCATGCCCAGGAGGAGCCCCTGGGCCTCGTGTCCCCCACTACGGCGGGGGGGGGGGGCTCCCTCCTGGCGTGGGGCGTGGCAGGGCTGCCTTTGTTCCTGGGGACAGGCAGCATTGTCCCCCGCACAGCAGGCACCTCCTGGCCGTGTGACGGGGAGGAAGCGGGCACAGGAAGGGGAGGGTCCTGCTGGCCCTCTGCAGTGGGCCTGAGGGTGGGGAAGCCACGCCCTCTGGGCTCCGCTCCGGGGGCTGCTGGCCGGCCAAGGCCACCTCACTTCCTGCACCCCTGGTGCCCAGAGAGGGCTGGGGCAGGGGGGTGGCCGCCGCCCCGACAGCCTCAGCCCCCGTCCCCTCCCTTGCAGCGGCCACGCCCCAGCCCTCCTGCCTCGTGTCCTGCGGCCAGGGGTGCGCGGGGCCGTCAGTGCCAGGGGCAGCGTCTCCAGGTGACAGCTGGTGACTCTGGCTTCCGGGAAAGGTGTCAGCCGAGCCGAGCCTGCCTGAAGCAGGGAGCCAGTGGCTTCCCAGAAGGCCCCCGTGGCGGGCAGCAGCCGGGCTCTGCACAAGCAGTGGAGTTGAGGGACAGCCCGTCCATGGGGCCCCAGGGGCTGGGACCTCCTGGTGACAACTCAGCGAGGCACAGTGCCACACGCACCCCAGCCCGGGCTTCCCAGGGGGCACGGGGCTCCAGGCCACCCCATGGCTCCGAGGCCGCTCGGCGGAGCTCCTGGCCCGGTGCCTGCTGGATGAGTGGCCGTGCTCACCCTCGTTCTCCCCGGGGCTCCGCAGGCGGTGGGCCTGGTGGCACAGGCGGGGCCCCCGGTGGGGCACCTGGGGGGGCCATGGCCGGGGAGGAGCCCACAGCAGTGGCCAGGTGACCCTCGGGGCTGCAGGGCAGGGGCCTCCCCAGAGTCTAATGAATATTAATGAGTGGGGGAGGGTGAGAAAATGACTGCCCGATCCCGCGATGGGCTGCGGCGACGATATGAAATCTAATTATTCGTCCCAATATTTCTAAACCTCAAACTGAGACTGACAGGCTCCCGGCCGGTTCAGTGCTTATCACTCCCAGAAGCAGCGTGTTCGCAGCTTGATAAAGCGGCTGCGGCTGTGCTGACGCCGCAGCAGCCCCACGTTTCCGCAGGCTCCGAGCCCCCGCCAGGCCCCCACCCCCATCACCGCCGGCTCCCTGACACCCTGGGGCTCCCGCCTGGCGCCTGTCCTGGGTTAGGACAGGGTGAGGAGGAAGAGGGGGTAGGCTAGGGAGGGACAGCACGGGAGGAGAGCCTGGCTCCCAGGAGGAACGGGGCAGGGGCCTGTCACCTCCCCCACCCAACCAGGATCCCGCCAGCCTACCCAGGGCCCTCCCTGCCCCGGAACCCAAAGGGCCTGGCCTCCCCGCCCCCCACAGCTAGACCCCGAAGTCAGCCCGGGGCTGCCCCGTCTCCCACCCTGGGGCAGGAAGCAGCAGCCGTCAGCCAGCGTGGCCGTCCCGCCCCCCGCCCCCTTGGGGTCCAGCCCTGTGCTGCTGTGGGCACGGCAGGAGCCTGGGAGGGCCCGACTGTAACTGCCCAGCCCACCTCACGCCTCTCCCTTGACCCCTGGAGAACCGAGGCCGCGCCACCTCCTCCGCTGGCCACCCCAGGCTCGGCACTCGGCTGGGGCAGGCATGCCCAGCGCCCCCCGCCCCGGCATAACGCCGGCCACTGCAGCTTCTTGGATTGGCTGAGAGCGCCCTTGTTTCCCCCAACAAAGGGTCAGTGTCTGACCAGGCCCGGCTGACCGTGCCCGGCTGATAACCATCGGAAACCCCACCTGCAGCGCATCTGCTGCGACAGCTCCATCGGGGTCCCCAGACCTCGCTGGGCAGTGTGGGCGGCTGGGAGGGGGTGGGGGCCCCCGGGGGTGCAGCCCCGTCCAGGGAGCTAGGAACTCCAGCAGCCAGCAGGGCACGCCGGCTTCCCCAGGTCATCACAGGGCACGGGAGGGTCAAGGCCGAGAGCGGCCGGGGCGGGGGACCCGATGAGGCCCCCACGTGCCACTCAGCCGCAGGCCGTGTCCTCTCTGGCCTCGGGTTCCTCCCACTCCCTGGAGCCTGCGAGGAGCCGGTGCACGGGCGAGAGGACCGAGGCCCCACAGGAGGCTGTGCACCCGGCCCGTGCCACTGCAGCCGCCCCTGCCGCCTCTCCACACGGCGCCAGGCACGGGAGTGGGCCGAGGGCCCGGCCCAGCGGGTGACGGGCAGCTGCGGGGTCGCAGGCACGAGGGCCTCTGCACCCCGTGCCAGCCCCCACTTCACGCCGGGCAGGAAGCAGCAGAGAAGGAGCAGCCACTGCTGTCCCGCCCCTCCGGGCCCCGGCCAGCCTCACACAGCAGGACCCAGCAGCCAGCAGCCCGGCCCTGTCTGGGGCATGCCCAGCTGGGCTGCCTGTCCAGAGAGCCAGCAGGAAGTGGGCACGGTGACCAGCTGGGGAGCTGGGTGGGGCGTTGAGTCCTTCAAGCCATCACCTATCCCAGACAGACAGGAGGGCAGTCGGGGGAAGGGCCCTGGCCAGGGTTTGCCCCGCGGCGAGTCTGGGCGCTGCCATGCCCACGAGCCCTCGGCTGGGGAGGGCTGCTCAGACCCCATGGGTCAGGGGCGGGGAGGCGGGCCTGAGGCCTCTGCACAGACCCGGCCTTTCGGCAGGGCACTGCCAGACTTGACAAGTGCTTGCCAGCCACGGGCTGCAGGACGCCCAGCGCTGGAGGGGGCGGGGCCATTTGCTCGTACATCTGTCCATCCACCTCCTGCACCTGACTGCTCGTTTTGGGTCCCTAAGATCCTGGTGGGAGGGGGAGGGTCACCAGCAAGTCGGTGGCAGAACCAAGACCCAGCCCCCACGCCTGATGCAGGGTGTGCGGGAGCAGCGCCCGTCCCCACGGCGGGGGCAGGGTCGCTGCATCCGATCTGCACTGCCGCTCACTTCCCCTTCCCTCTCTGCGAGCCCAGTGCTGGCAGCTGAGGACGTCTCAGGGGCCGGGGGGGGGGGGAACCCGCGAGCTGAGCTCGATAAGGGGCCGCGGGGCCGCACGATAAGCGGGGTCTCGGGAACCAGGCGTCTGCCCCACGCATCCGTACCCTCGGCGCCTCGCCGGGCAGATAAGGGTTAATCAGGACTGAGTTCTGCATGAGATAGGGCGGGGTGGGGGCAGGGAGTGCTGCTGGGGGCTCAGGGTGGGCAGATGAGGGTCCTACCCTCCCTCTGTGTCTGATCTGGGAGACCTGGGCAGGTCTTACCCTCACGGGTTCTCAGTCTCCCCACCTGTGAAATGGGTGCGTGGGTAAGGGTCCCTTGTGGGGGTCAGCAGGGGTCTGCAGCACAGGCCTATCTGTCTGGGAGGGCACATGGGGGAGGGAGCCAGCTTGCAGCCTCTCCTGCCATGGGCCTCGTCACCACACACGGGATTCCTTGACACAGAGTGCGGGGGGGTGGAGCTCCAGGCCAAGCCATCAGCCGCCTCCCGCGACTGGGGGGGGCTCCTTCCTGGCACAGCTTCCTGCCCACCATGCCCACAAGGGGCCCCCAGGCCGGGGAAGCAGAGGCGCAGGGCACGACACGGTGGGCAATGGCCTAACGCTACAGACCCCAGAGCCTGCGCTCTGTGCGATGGGATGGCCTGGACACGAAGGGGGACGCCTGTGTGCTGGGCCAGCCCCCCCAGCCTCTCAGCTGGACCCTCGGAGGCCCCGCCAATATCGGCGGCCGAGGCCAGCACAAGCCCTGCCGCAGGGGTGCGTGGAGTGAGGGCCGTGGGCATGGGGTCCCAGGGCCTGCAACCAGGGGCTCTCCTGTAGCTCCCCACCACGCCCGCTGCCAGAGCTGCCAGGGACAGCGCTGGGCCCAGGGGCTGGGGCGGCCAGGCCCAGAGCACCAGCCCTGTGTGCACCGGCTCCTGTTCGCTGCTCCAGCCACGCCTGAACGGACACAAACCCGGCCGAAGTCATGGCCACGCCCACCCAGAGGGCACCGGAGCCTGGGCGAGAGGACCCAGCCAGAGGATGCTTGGGAACGACACGGCATCTCCCAGCCCTCCGCCGCTGGTGTCGTGTAGGACAGGTGCTGATGGTCCCCCCATGCCCCCGCCAGAGGGAGGAGGCCCTCGAAGTCAGCCAGCAGTGGGCAACAGGACGGGGTGGCAGCGAGGGGCTGCCCAGGTGGGGGCTGCTGCCCACCAAGGCACCGTCCCCGGCGCCGGTCTCCCAGGGCCCGCGTGGGCGACCCCTGCCCCGGGCGCTGCCTCTGCCCTCCTGACCCGGCAGGCCCAGCCCCCCCGCCCCGCCTCAACTGCCACTTCTCCATAAGGGCCCGCATCGGGTGCCCTCCTCCAGGAAGCCCTCCTTGGGCCCCTGGGCAGGTCACCCCACTTCCCGACACACTACAGCCAGTGTTCCCAGGTGGGCCAGGGCCTCAGGTGGGTACAGGTGGACACGGCCATGCACCCCGTGGGTGGCAGGGGCCCTGGGTGGGGCTCCTTACCAGTTCTGCCTGCCGGGGGGACGAGGCCGCCGTCTGGATGCTCCCCGGGAACGGACCCCAGGCCAGGCCCTGGGCGAGGCCGCGCCGGGCCCGCACGCGCCTCTGGCCGTCCTGTAGCAGCAGCTCCAGCTCCTCTGTGGAGACAGGGAGGCGTGAGGCAGGGGCAGCCGCGGGGCCTGAGGGCCGGGGCCAGGCCAGCGCTGTGGGCCTTCTCAGGGCTCCAGTGGCTGCAGCTGGCCCCGAGATCTGGGACAGCTGCTGTCAGTGGGGCTGTGGCCAGCAGAGCCCACGGGAGGCGCCCGGCGGGACGCCCCCGCCGCTGCCCGCACGCACCAGGGTGAAGACAGCCGTGCAGGGACACTCAGGAGCTCGAGGGACCGCGTCCTGCACGGGATGGGCCCTGACTCCAGCAGCAGTGTCCTCCTGAGACAGAGCGAGCGGTCAGGAGAAGACGCGGGCAAAGGCTGCTGGGAGCTGCCAGAGGCAGGCAGAGCCCGACCGCGACGGGGGCTTCTTGCCTCCACGTGTGGGGACAGAGGTGGCTGCCTCATGCCCCAGGGGCGCCCCCACCCCTGGCCCTCAGCTGCCCTCCGTGAGCCTGGGCACCTGTTCCTGGGGCAGCACGGATGCCGCTGGCCACTCCCTTGGAGGCTGCTCCCTGCCAGGCCACCCCAGGGCTCCCCAGGCCCACGGTGGCCTCACGTGGTCTGGCCTGGCCCCACTTCCTGCAGCCGCACTGCACAGGCTGTGGCCTTAATGGGCCCGAAGATCAGATAAAGGCCCTAATGGCGGAGATAGCATGCAAATGCCCCTGGAGGCTGCGGAGCCTTGGCGGGCTTTGTCCTCCGGCAGATAAGATGGCAGCAGCCCAGCCCACAGCCACTGACTGGGGCCGCCTCCCAGGATGCCAGGGTCCCTGGACTCCCTCCCGCCTGCCCCGTAGGGCCTGGCACCAAGCATGGCCCATGTGGGCCGGGCCATCCTCAGCTCGGGACAGGGAGTGGCCTGGGGAGTGACAGGCAGCCTATGCAGCCAGGAGCTGAACCCCAATGCCCGTGAGGGCCATGGCGCTCACGTCCTGGGTATATGGGTGCCTCTGGTCCCCACATGGCTGCCCTCTGCGGTGGGCGCCCACTCGTCTCCCAGCCGGCGAACGGCTCCTCTTCAGCCCCACCCACCCCAGCTCAGGGCGGTCGGGCCGTGGGGTGGCACCCAGAAGCTCCAAGCTTCGCACGAGGGGGCCCCGCCCTGGGCCGCTGGCTTCCTGCTGCACCTGTGGGGCCCAGTGGCCGCTGGCTGGGACGGACGGAGCCACGTGGCCACGCCACCCTCTTTAGGGGAGTTGTGGGTCCTTGTTTCCCTCTTGGGGTCCAGGCCCCTTATGGCAGCTCCCAGGCTGGGTGGGGCACGGAGCCCCCAGTAGGAGCTGGTCACTGCTGAGTCGAGGGCTTTCGCTGGAGGGCAGCAGCCCCGCCCCTCTCCCACTGGAGGCCACCCAGACGTGGTGAGGGCCAGGGCAGCCCCCGCCAGTCACGCTGGTGCTGTGTCCTGGCCCCCCACGGCCAGCTCCCGGCCCCACTGTGCACCCAAGGCAAACGGCCCCATGTGCTAATCGGCACTCACGGCCGTGACCCGAGCCTCCCAGATAAGAGTGTGGCTGGCACTTCCCTGGGTATCGGGCAGTGCCCGGGAGAGGGCTGGCTCCTGATAGAGGCCAGCGTCCTGTGCCCCTGCACAGCCCACTCCTGCGGGGTCTGCCGGGGACCAGGCACGGCCACGACAGCCACCTCCTGGGCCAGCGCCAGCGTCGCTGTCCCCGACGAACTGGACAGCAGAAAGGGCACCTGGCACGGTGCTTATGAGGCCACTCGGGACCCCTGCACCCGCTGTCGGAGCCTGGGCTCGAGTCCAGGCTCTGCTTCCAATCCTAGCTTCCTGAGGAGCCCTGGGAGGCACCTGCCACCCACACGGAGACCTGCACCGAGCCCCCGGCCCCGCCCTCGGCCCGGTCCGGCCTGGCCGCTATGGGCATCTGGGGACGTGAAGCAGCAGATGGACGACCACAGCCTCTCTCCTCGCCTTTCAAGTAAATACAAGGAAATAAAGATTTAGGACACAGAAGGGGCGCCTGCTCTGGGTGGATGTGGGGCGTGGCTGGGGAACGGCCCCCTCAGCTCCTGCTTGCCCCGCCTGACCTGGGCAGCTGCCCACAGCGGCCTGACAGCGGCCTCTCCTGAGCTCCCCTTTCCTCCTCGGCCCACACGGGCTCACCAAAGCCCGGGCGGCCCCGGCCGGGACCCTCCCCCAGCGGAAGCAAAAGCGCACAAGCAGCGTGGGGTGAGTGAGGCCCCGCTCCCGGCAGGCCCAGCCAGGCTGGGGATGAGTGTCCCACACGGGTCGGACGCATGGTGGCGGCCATGTAGACAGCGGCTCAACAGGAAACCTGGGGCCCTGAGGGGCGCGGCAGCCCCCGAGCCGTGCCCGGAGCTGGGGGGAGGGGGCACCGGAAGCTCCGTCCCCAGCTTGTGGCTCATTGCTCACTCAGTCACAAAACCCCACGGGACGCTGGGGACAGGGCTGGGCCTGGGGGCTCCCAGGGACCCCTGCGGTGGCTGCGCAGGCCGCTGCCTGTTCTTCCGGGACCCCGGCTCCTGGCCTCCACCTCCCCCGGGAGCCCCGTCCCGACCGGGACGCAGGGAGTCCTCCCAGAGCACAGCAGGAGGCACTCGGGGGTTCATGCGGGGAGCGGGGGGCCGCACAGCCTCCTGCCCCCCGATGCTGGCTCTGCCCACTCTCGCCTCAATGTCCACTCTCAGAGCGGCCTCCCCGGAGGTCCAGGTTGCCGGATGGGGGCCATCACCCCAGGCGAGCACTGGGACAAGCTCCCTACGGCGGCGCCGGCCTGTCAGTCCCTAAGCGTCTGCAGCGGAACCAGAGGAGGACTCGCCGACTCTGCAGAAACCCGCTTCGGTCTCCACCCCGAGCAGTCCCTTGGGGGCCGGGGCAGCTGGGATCAGGCTCAGGAGCCACACGAGGGCCATGGGTGCCCTGGGTGGACAACTGGGTCCCGGAGCCGAGGCCTGTGGTCAAGCCCCACCTCTGTCCAGCTGGCTCTGAGCCTCGGTTTACTCATCTGTGCAAGTGGGCACCAGCACGAAGTCCTCCCGTGTTGCAGGGCACACGTCCACCCGCGTGGCCAGCACTGGCCTCTCTCCCCTCAGCACTGCCAGCAACAAGAAGCTGCCCCAGGTGACGGGACCCCTCAGGACGCGGGCAGTTGCCAGCCCTGGCCTCCGACGTGGGCAGCAGGCCCTGAGGGAGGACGAGAGGGCTCGGCCGCCCTCCCCCTGCACCTCTACCCCAGCTGTGGTCTGTGGTCAGCATGCGGGTGCCCACCCCGGGGTCACCGCCAGCACCCGCTTATCTAATCGGCCCATCACTCCGCCCGGCCCGCCCCACGGCTCTCCCAGGCCAGCTGGGCCCAGCTCTGCTGGGAGCTGCCCTATCTCGAGGATCGTGCTGTTTGCCTTTGATAAAAGTCACAGAAAGGGAAAGAAAAGGGAGCAGGGGAGGGGGAGGAAAACCCCAGCCAGGCAGGGTTCTAGAAGTCTCTGCGGCCACAGGGCAGGCCGGCCGCCTGGGCCCTGAGAACATGTGCTCCCCACACATCTGCGCAAACACAGCGGCCGGGCCGGGAAGGGCCAGCAGCTGCCCCAAGGTCGCCCCGCAGGTGGCGGGGGCCCGGGAGTGCTGCGGGGAGCCAGGGCCTGGGGCCTGCCACTGGCTCTCATCTGGGACCAAGTGCTGAAGGGCGGGGCTGACCCACGGCTTGGGCAAAGCGGGCCATTCCTCCTGCTCCCTGTGGCCGGCAGGGGGCACAGCAGGCCGGGGCAGGCTTCTGGACCCCAAGCCCAGGACCGCGCCCCTCCCTCCTTGGACAGCGTGGGCGCATAAGCACAGGCTGCCGAGAAAGCCCCACAGGCTGCGCGCTGGGCAGAGCCGGGCCTGGGCGTCCCAGGGCCAGGACCCCAGACGGCGCCCGCCGCAGCCCCTCTGCGGGACTTCACACGGTGCTGTGCCCAGCGCCGCAGCACGGCCACAAACAGCAGCAAAGCCCGTTCCACGGCGGGCAGCTGCGAGGGTCTCCCCCGCCCCACGTGCTCCAGCCCGGGGGCCCCGGTGGGCCCCTCTGCCCTGCTGGCTCAGCGCGGTGCCCGGCGTCTGCTCCCTGAGTCCTTGTGCCTTCTCACGCCAGGTCAGAGGTTACCACGCGGCTCCAAGCTCCAGAACTTTCTCTGCCTGTTTTCTCCGGAATCCGCAGCAGTGTCTGGCTGCACCTGCCCGAGGGCCCAGGGGCCCTGCCTCGCCTGCAGCACCTGCTGGGCTCTCGCTCCAAGTGCCCGCCCACTGTGCATGGCGCCACCTCCTCTCCCCGATGCCGGCATCCATGTTCCCTGGGGCGGGCAGCAGAGGGGGCTGTGCGATGGCCGGCAGGGACTCTGCTGGGGACGGCCGGGACCAGTGAGTGCCAGCCAGTGTCCACTGCAGGCCTGTGCCCAGGAAATCTCCAACAGTGCCCCACTGCACTGTCCACAGAGCGCTGACCACTTTTGGGCACTGTGTCCCCTGGGCACAGGGCCTGGGCCAGAGTGGACATGAGCAAGGCCCAGGCCCCTCTGTCCCTGCCCCGTGCCCGCCTTGGAAAATGGGAAAGGCAGAGCCTCCCAGAGAGCTCAGGCCCCCCTCACAGCATGGCTGGGGTCTGGGTCCCCTGGAGGGGCCCGGCCTGGGGCCTCCGGGGACAGGGGAGCCAGCCCCCAGGCTCTGGAGGCCCCGCCCTGCCCCACCTGCCAGCTGGTGTCTGTGAACTTCTCTCCCTATCGCTAGGAACATCGCTGGGATTATTGATTTTTCGACACAAAACAACAGCCCATCTTTATCGGGCTGAACCCTGGCCCCGGCTAATGGCAGCGCTGGGACTGCCTGGGAGGGCAGGCAGTGCAGGGTGGGGCCCAGTTCCCCCCAGACCGGTCCTGGGCGGGCGGAGGAGGCCTGGGGGCTGCGCTGAGCCCCAGAGTCCAGGGTAGGGGGCGGCCTTGGGCTCTGCCTGCGCCCTGCAACCCGAGATGAGCTCCTGGGGGTGGGGTGTCTCCCACACCTGCAGGCGAGGCAGGAGCTCTGCCCAGAGAGAGGCCCGTCCCTGCTCCCTACCCGGACAGCACTACCCCACTGCCCTGAAGTGGGCACTGCTGGGGCCCTGAGACTCAGGCCACGCCAGGCCCCCCGTAAAGCTGAGCGCCGGGTCTGGGAAGGTAGTGAGCCCATCAGCTCCTGGCCCCGGCCCGCATCCTCTGCTGCCACTCGGCTCCTTGCACAGGGAGGCATCGGTGAGGGGAGGGCCTGGGGTCTAGATGGGGCGCCAG